TTTTGCTTGTTTTGAATACTTGTCAATTTTGATTACTTAGAAGTTCTTTATTTAAAACTTAGCAACAATTTCGCTTTTCTCATTGAAATCTACATATTTTTTTGTATGTTTCCTAAAAATTTGCTGGTTCCAACGCAATTTTATCAAGAGATATGGATTTTTGTAACCGCATACTGCGCATTTTTAACATTTTTGGGTATTTCTCCATTCAACACCCAGTAACATTTTTATTTCAACCTAAATAGCAATTTCGTAGTATTCATTGTAATCTGCATCATTTTTAGAGTAACTATTACATATTTGATGATTCCAAACCGATTTTTTAAAAAGTTATGAATTTTTAGCCTCAAAACCATTAGTTTTTGCAAATTTTAGATACATTTCGATTTTGATTACTTAGAACTTCTTTATCACAATCTTAGCAACAATTTCGTAGTTCTCATTGAAATCTACATACCTTTTAGTGTAATTCCTAAAAATTTGTTGATTCCAACGCAACTTTATCAAGAGATATGAATTTTTGTAACCGCACACTGCGCATTTTTAACATTTTTGGGTATTCCTCCATTTAACACCCAGTAACATTTTAATTTCAACTCAAATAGCAATTTCGTAGTGTTCATTGTAATTTACATCATTTTTAGAGTAAATACTACAAATTTAGTGATTCCAAACCGATTTTTTAAAAAGTTATGAATTTTTAGCCTCAAAACCATTAATTTTTGCAAATTTTAGATACTTTTCGATTTTGATTACTTAGAACTTCTTTATCTCAATCTTAGCAACAATTTCGTAGTTCTTATTGAAATCTACATACTTTTTAGTATAATTCCTAAAAATTTGCTGATTCCAACCCAATTTTATCAAGAGATATGGATTTTTCTAACCGCATACTGCGCATTTTTAACATTTTTGGGTATTACTCCATTTAACACCCAGTAACATTTTTATTTCAACCCAAATAGCATGTAATCTGCATCATTTTTAGAGTAACTATTACATATTTGATGATTCCAAACCGATTTTTTAAAAAGTTATGAATTTTTAGCCTCAAAACCATTAATTTTTGCAAATTTTAAATACTTTTCGATTTTAATTACTTAGAACTTCTTTATCTCAATCTTCGCAACAATTTCGTAGTTCTTATTGAAATCTACATACATTTTAGTATACTTCCTAAAAATTTGCTGATTCCAACGCAATTTTATCAAGAGATATGGATTTTTATAACCGCATACTGCGCATTTTTTACATTTTTGGGTATTACTCCATTTAACACCCAGTAACATTTTTATTTCAACCCAAATAGCAATTTCGTAGTATTCATTGTAATCTGCATCATTTTTAGAGTAACTATTACATATTTGATGATTCCAAACCGATTTTTTAAAAAGTTATGAATTTTTAGCCTCAAAACCATTAATTTTTGCAAATTTTAAATACTTTTCGATTTTAATTACTTAGAACTTCTTTATCTCAATCTTCGCAACAATTTCGTAGTTCTTATTGAAATCTACATACATTTTAGTATAATTCCTAAAAATTTGCTGATTCCAACGCAATTTTATCAAGAGATATGGATTTTTATAACCGCATACTGCGCATTTTTTACATTTTTGGGTATTACTCCATTTAACACCCAGTAACATTTTTATTTCAACCCAAATAGCAATTTCGTAGTATTCATTGTAATCTGCATCATTTTTAGAGTAACTATTACATATTTGATGATTCCAAGCCGATTTTTTTAAAAGTTATGAATTTTTAGCCTCAAAACCATTAATTTTTGCAAATTTTAGATACATTTTGATTTTGATTACTTAGAACTTCTTTATCTCAATCTTAGCAACAATTTCGTAGTTCTTATTGAAATCTACGTACTTTTTAGTACAATTCCTAAAAATTTGCCGATTCCAACGCAATTTTATCAAGAGATATGAATTTTTCTAACCGCATACTGCGCATTTTTAACAATTTTGGGTATTACTCCATTTAACACCCAGTAACATTTTTATTTCAACCCAAATAGCAATTTCGTAGTATTCATTGTAATCTGCATCATTTTTAGAGTAACTATTACATATTTGATGATTCCAAACCGATTTTTTAAAAAGTTATGAATTTTTAGCCTCAAAACCATTAATTTTTGCAAATTTTAGATACATTTCGATTTTGATTACTTAGAACTTCTTTATCTTAATCTTAGCAACAATTTCGTAGTTCTTATTGAAATCTACATACTTTTTAGTACAATTCCTAAAAATTTGCTGATTCCAACGCAATTTTATCAAGAGATATCAATTTTTGTAACCGCAAACTGCGCATTTTTAACAATTTTGGGTATTACTCCATTTAACACCCAGTAACATTTTTATTTCAACCCAAATAGCAATTTCGTAATATTCATTGTAATCTGCATCATTTTTAGAGTGACTACTACATATTTCGTGATTCCAAATGCATTTCTTAAGAAGTTATGGACTTTAGTAACAAAACCATTTATTTCCGCTGATTTTTAAATACTTTTCGATTTTGCTTACTTACAAGTTCTTTATTTAAATCTTAGCAACAAATTCGCATTTTTTATTGAAATCTACATACCTTTTAGTATAATTCCTAAAAATTTTATGATTCCAAACCAAGTTCTTAAAAAGTGGAAGAATAATAATTGTAAATCTAAACGTTTTCGTGTTCTATTGATTTTCCAAGAAAACTTTACCGAAACTTCGCTTGTCTTTCAATTAGTTTAGACACGAAAGCACAATAAATTCGTGTTTAAACGAGATTATAAGAACGTCGTCGGCGAAGTCGTTTGACCGTTTAACAACAAAACAGAACAAGACGAAAAAAGCAAATCTTAGTAAAAAAACGATAAGAAAAGAATGAAAATTTAACCGTCTCTAGAAATGGTGTTAATTAAAATAAAACTAAGAGCTTAGCCGGTCGGGAGGGCAAAAACGGCGAGGAAATTACATATTTAAAGCGCCTTATTTACGTTGGACGATGTTAACCTAAACCTAGTCGTCATGCAACGTTATTAAACGGGCACTCTCTCGTCCGGATTTTATTCATACTCGCAGACGATAAACCAAACAGCATTAATTAAAAGATTTATACATAAAAAACGCGCAATTAATTGCGATTTAAGGATCACGCGAACCTTGGTCCGTGTTGCATTTACTGTTTACGCCGCACCTTATAGAACTAGTGATCTTAAACTATTAGACCGGAATTAAATGCGACTTCTCGATAAATTGCAAGATTGGATTAATAATTAATTATAATGCCGCAAGAAATCTCGGCTTGATTGGGTAAAAACCGAGGTCGTTTGCGACCGAGGCGCTACAATACAATTTTGTATTGATATGATAATTGTAGCATCTCGGCCGCAAGAGACCTTGGCTTGAAAAATCTTGCAACCTTGCCGAGTATCAATATCAAAAATTATAATCGCTAATTGAATGGATCGGAGACGGCGCAATTAGAAGAAGTAAATATAGAGGAAAATATGTTAAAAGATAACTCAAAGTGAACTAAATTTGCTTCATTTTATTAATTAATAGATTTTTAAAAATTGAGATTTTATGTATTTTCCGCGGCTGATTAAAGTTTTATTACGACTAGTTTACGATTGCTGTAAAACCGAACGATTTAAGTGCTTCACTCCGTAATTAACTTCAATTAAGTCGGTTGTTATGAGCCCGTTAAATCACCGCAATCCGCATTCACTTCGTTATTGAATCCCAAGATGTATTAACATCTTAAGAGTGACTAACAAGTAAATTTAACAGATTAAATCATTTTATTTTTAATTTTTCATATATTTTTTTGATAAAAAGATTCTCCAGTTAAAAATGTTAACGATAAATATTTAAAGTAAACACAAACTTGTGCAATTATTAACTTTACAAATTAGTTACTGATCGTAAGATTACCAGTTTTAGTTATTATATTCAACACGAAATAGCCCCTCGATGAGGGAAAAACTTTTATTACTCGACCCCTTATCACACGTCACAAATCTTAGACGGTCGGTTGCATGTTATCCATATTTAATGGATTAATAAAACTTTAACTCTTTCTACATAACCATGAATTTGTTTTAATAACACCCCATTTTAATCCATAACAATAGCAATTTTCTTTTAAATACATTTCTAATCAATTTACTTTTTTTTCCCAATTTAATCATAAATTTATTGAAATTTTACTTACTTGTATCCTAGCTTCGGTTAATCCAATTTTCATTGCTAATTCCTCCCTGTAACAAAAAGAAATAATTATTAAAAATCCTTTTTTATAATTAACATATAATAANCTAAATTTGCTTCATTTTATTAATTAATAGATTTTTAAAAATTGAGATTTTATGTATTTTCCGCGGCTGATTAAAGTTTTATTACGACTAGTTTACGATTGCTGTAAAACCGAACGATTTAAGTGCTTCACTCCGTAATTAACTTCAATTAAGTCGGTTGTTATGAGCCCGTTAAATCACCGCAATCCGCATTCACTTCGTTATTGAATCCCAAGATGTATTAACATCTTAAGAGTGACTAACAAGTAAATTTAACAGATTAAATCATTTTATTTTTAATTTTTCATATATTTTTTTGATAAAAAGATTCTCCAGTTAAAAATGTTAACGATAAATATTTAAAGTAAACACAAACTTGTGCAATTATTAACTTTACAAATTAGTTACTGATCGTAAGATTACCAGTTTTAGTTATTATATTCAACACGAAATAGCCCCTCGATGAGGGAAAAACTTTTATTACTCGACCCCTTATCACACGTCACAAATCTTAGACGGTCGGTTGCATGTTATCCATATTTAATGGATTAATAAAACTTTAACTCTTTCTACATAACCATGAATTTGTTTTAATAACACCCCATTTTAATCCATAACAATAGCAATTTTCTTTTAAATACATTTCTAATCAATTTACTTTTTTTTCCCAATTTAATCATAAATTTATTGAAATTTTACTTACTTGTATCCTAGCTTCGGTTAATCCAATTTTCATTGCTAATTCCTCCCTGTAACAAAAAGAAATAATTATTAAAAATCCTTTTTTATAATTAACACTAAAAATTTGTAATAAACGTCGTTTTTACAGATTTGAGGATTTTATGCTTTATACCTAAAATTTCAAAATAGTTGGGAAGATATTGTTTATGGATTATGTTTTTATACTTTATTACAAACAATTTTTATTAATATTATTCTCATCTATAAGTTTTAATTTTTGTGTTAAAACCCATTTTGTTGTTTATTGTCTCATATTTGATATATTTGAGATTTTAATTCCGCTAAGTTGGTAACAATCATAATTGAGTTATAACCGCTTATAGATAAAGTTTTGATGGTTTATTACAAACAATTTTCATCAATAACGTTTTCTTCTAGCATAATTAGTTTTTGAGATATAACAAAATTTTTATTCCTAAACGTCGTTTTTAGAGATTTGGGGTTTTTATGCTTTATACCTAAAACTTCGAAATAGTTGGGAAGATATTGTTTATGGATTACGTTTTTATACTTTATTTCAAACAATTTTTATTAATATCATTCTCATCCACAACTTTTAATTTTTGTGTTAAAACTCATTTTGTAGCTAATTGCCTAAAATTCGACATATTTGAGATTTTAAATCCGCTAAGTTGGTAACAATCATAATTGAGTTATAACCGCTTACAGATAACGTTTTGATGGTTTATTACAACCAATTTTTATCAATAACGTTTTCTTTTAGCATTATTAGTTTTTGAGTTATAATAAAATTTTTATTCATAAACGTCATTTTTAAAGATTTGGGATTTTTATGCTTTATACCTAAAATTTCGAAATAGTTGGGAAGATATTGTTTATCGATTATGTTTTTATACTTTATTACAAACAATTTTTATTAATATCATTCTCATCAACAAGTTTTAATGTTTGTGTTAAAACCCATTTTGTTGTTTATTGTCTCATATTTTATGTTTGAGATTTTAAATCCGCTAAGTTGGTAATAATCATAATTGAGTTATAACCGCTTATAGATAAAGTTTTGATGGTTTATTACAAACAATTTTCATCAATAACGTTTTCTTCTAGCATAATTAGTTTTTGAGATATAACAAAATTCTTATTCCTAAACGTCGTTTTTAGAGATTTGGGGTTTTTATGCTTTATACCTAAAATTTCGAAATAGTTGGGAAGATATTGTTTATGGATTATGTTTTTATACTTTATTACAAACAATTTTTATTAATATCATTCTCATCCACAACTTTTAATTTTTGTGTTAAAACTCATTTTGTAGCTAATTGCCTAAAATTCGACATATTTAAGATTTTAAATCCGCTAAGTTGGTAACAATCATAATTGAGTTATAACCGCTTATAGATAACGTTTTGATGGTTTATTACAAACAATTTTCATCAATAACGTTTTCTTTTAGCATTATTAGTTGTTGAGTTATAATAAAATTTTTATTCATAAACGTCATTTTTAGAGATTTGGGGTTTTTATGCTTTATACCTAAAATTTCGAAATAGTTGGGAAGATATTGTTTATGGATTATGTTTTTATACTTTATTACAAACAATTTTTATTAATATCATTCTCATCCACAACTTTTAATTTTTGTGTTAAAACCCATTTTGTAATCAATTGCCTCAAATTCGACATATTTAAAATTTTAAATCCGCTAAGTTGGTAATAATCATAATTAAGTTATAATCGCTTATGTACATAATTTTATTGGTTCATTACAAACAATTTACATCAACAACGTTTTTTCCTAACATTATCATTTTTCAAGTTATATTAAAATTTGTATTCAAAACCGTCATTTCGGAGATTTGGGGATTTTATGATTTCAGTTAATTAGGCCGAGGCGTTACAATTAATTCTACATTTAGGCAATGTTGAAAAGTATATAGCATTAGTGTTAGTTTTAATGAAAGTGCATGTTTAAAAAACAAAGCCATTTATTATTAATTAAAATTTTATTGAAAATGAAGTGTAACTCTCAAAAATTTTATGTATGAAAGACTTTCCTTCACAAAAAATGTTATGCAGATATTTCCATTAATCAACACATTATATATTGACTGAATAAGTAAGTAATGAGGGCATGTAATTATTCCTAAGTAAAACGTTAATTGAGTTTACTAGTTAAAACATTAATTTAGTTTAATTGAAATGTCTAACAATAAGTTAAATTTTGAATTTGCAATAAGCGGTTTTTATTTCTGAAATAAAAGAAACACTGGGTGGTTTCGTTTGGAGTCATAAAACAGACAATACGAGGGTAAAATTCCAAACTTAAAACCCATTCTGAACTGGTAGCTTTGTGGCCTTTCCAATAAAACTTATCGTTAATTGATAGATTACAAGCTGCTTCGTTTTATCAGGTGGTCTAGACATATTTTTAGGATCCCCATAAATGACTCATTGTCTACATAAAAAACTTAAAATTTCAATAAAACAATTTTTAGGTAATCTTCTAAAATCAAAACAAGAAATTATTTCAAGCAATTTAAATCAATCATTAAATAATCGCTTGTTTATAATTATATATAATTTTCAGTTATTTATAAATTACTAACAACTTTTTCGTTGTCTCAATTAAAACTTAAAACATTAAAATTGTCGATTAAGGTTTTATTGACATTTAATTAATTCTTGTACGCGAAAACAAAACTTAACGTAAAATGAAATAAAAAGGGTGAAATAAGAAAAGATGTGTGTGGAGAGTTTTAAAATGGTCGGTTGCCTTTTTCGGTCTCGAATCCTTCCTAATTGAGGTCCCTTTTACAACGTCACTACAACGCCACGGGGACAAATTACAGGCATTCAGATAGAGAGAATCGGTTTATCTAATTTGCACGACAAAACACGGTCTTCTCATTTGGAGACCAAGGGATCCCGGATAATGGATCACTCGCCGGACTTTTTCTTTCGCCTTCCGTTCTCTTTTTTCTTGTCGACCCGTCGCTTAACTCTTGTTCGAAATATGCTAATTTCTTTTACTCATTATTCCTTCACTTACTTCAACTTGGATTTAACATCTATTTTAAAACCGATCGATTCAATTCGATTCGTATTTAATTCGTAACCCCAATTTTTTATTGGTGGAAAAGGATTCTTGGAAAATCTCTTACAACATGAATAGAAACCAATTTAGTTGTCGATTCCGATTACAAGTTGGGATGGGTTCGGATAATGAGATAACGACATCTCAAGTTCTCTTTGAATCGTTTGATTTAACGTTTAAGAGAGTGTTAAGTAATAATTCTTGGAAGAATTAATGTGGTTGGATTTTCTCGGAATTATTTGGTTAAAATTAAAAAAGAATTGAACTAAAGCTAAAATTAATACTTGCATCATTAGATTGGAACGAAGTGCTATGGTGTTAATTGTAGCGCCTCGGCCGGAAGCAACCTCGGTTTGGTTTAAAATGGAAATTGACCCAGTTTGCTCACTGACAAGAAATATATACTGTTCAATATTGCCTAAATATAGTATTAATTGTATCGCCTCGGCCTCATTAACAGAAATCATAAAATCCCAAAATCTCCGATTTTAATACAAATTTTATTATAACTCGAAAAATAATAATGCTAGGACAAAACGTTGTTGATGAAAATTGTTTATAATTAACCAACAAAATTATGTACATAAACGATTATAGCTTAATTATGATTATTACCAACCCAGCGAATTTATAATCTTAAATATGTCGAATTTGAGGCAATTAACTACAAAATGGGTTTTAACACAAAAATTAAAAGTTGTGGATGAGAATGATATTAATAAAAATTGTTTGTAATAAAGTATAAAAACATAATCCATAAACAATATCTTCCCAACTATTTCAAAATTTTAGGTATAAAGCATAAAAACCCCAAATCTCTAAAAATGACGTTTATGAATACAAATTTTATTATAACTCAAAAACTAATAATGCTAGAAGAAAATGTTATTGATGAAAATTGATTGTAATAAAGAATCAAAACTTTATCTATAAGCGGTTTTAATGCAATTATGATTCTTACCAAGTTAGCTTTATTTAAAATTTTAAACATATCAAATGTGAGGCAATAAACAACAAAATGGGTGTTAACACAAAAATTAAAACTTGATGTTGAGAATGATATTAATAAAAATTGTTTATAATAAAGTATAGAAACATAATCCATAAAAAATATCTTCCCAACTATTTCGAAATTTTAGGTATAAAGCATAAAAACCTCACATCTCTAAAAACGACGTTTAGGAATAAAAATTTTATTATAACTCAAAAACTAGTAATGCTAGAAGAAAACGTTATTGATGAAAATTGTTTGTAATAAACCGTCAAAACTTTATATATAGGCGGTTACAACTCAATTATGATTATTACCAACTTAGCGGATTTAAAATCTCAAACATATCGAATGTAAGGCAATAAACAACAATATAGGTTTTACCACAAAAATTAAAACTTGTTGATGAGAATGATATTAATAAAAATTGTTTATAATAAAGTATAGAAACATAATCCATAAAAAATATCTTCTCAACTATTTCGAAATTTTAGGTATAAAGCATAAAACCCCAAATCTCTAAAACTGAGGTTTATGAATAAAAATTGTATTATAACTCAAAAACTAGTCATGCTAGAAGAAAACGTTATTGATGAAAATTGTTTGTAATAAACCATCAAAACTTTATCTATAAGCGGTTTTAATACAATTATGATTGTTACCAACTTAGCGGATTTAAAATCTCAAACATATCAAATGTGAGACAATAAACAACAAAATGGGGTTTAACACAAAGATTAAAACTTGTTGATGAGAATGACATTTATAAAAATTATTTGTAATAAAGCATAAAAACATAATCCATAAACAATATCTTCCCAACTATTTCGAAATTTTATGTATAAAGTATAAAAACCCCAAATCTCTAAAAATGACGTTTATGAATAAAAATTTTATTATAACTCAAAAATTAATAATGGTAGAAGAAAATGTTATAGATGAAAATTGTTTGTAATAAACCA